GAATCTTTTTCCCTTAGGTTTAGAACCAGTAAGTAGTAGTGTCCCGCTGTGTCTGATCCATTGTTTCTCATGGCCTCAAGCACAGGGAACATTACCTATGTTGTTTTTGTTCACATCTCGTTAGTAACACAACAAATCTGAATATTCGGAATTTTAGGAAAACATTCATATGTAAACACACCATCTGACGGTGGTCGAGGTTGTTATCAGCACGCCTGAATACGCGAGTCACTTGATTCCTATCAAGCTAGCCCAATTGTAGAAATGTCTGCCAAAAAAATTATCCCATTCTCTATATTGTTCCAAGTGCACAACTTGTAATACTGCATATGCATTGATCTATTTTTTATGTTACCTTCCACCGTCAACATTGTCTTCAATTATCACATTTTTTTATTGTATGCAGGAAAATGGCTAGAGGACTTCGACAGCAGCAACACGCATCTTCTTCCAATCAGGTATGTCCATACTTTCTGTTTTGTAATAATTATATATGTTGTATCTTTTCTGGCACATATGTGTGCCCCGTATAGCATTTTTGTGCGTCATGTGTAGCATTTTTTATATTTTCTTAAGCATTTTACATTTGACTACTGTTCAGGGTACAAGGAATGTTTAAGGTACAAGGAACTGAGCTTCTCCTTCTCGGCTTGTTAAGCTGTACAAGAAAATGACTGAATCTCAACGCAATAGGATAAAGGCAATCGGGTTTGGAGGCCTACTGAATATAAAATGTGATACACTACCAGCAAGGTTAGCAAATTGGGTAATGGTGGATTGTTTCGATGCCGAGTCTTCGCAGTTGGTGTTTCCTGGAAGAGGTGTAATTAAAATCACAGCTGAAGTTGTGCAGTCTATCATGGACTTGCCAAACAATGGTGATGAAGTAAAATATGAGCTTGATGTCAGTGCAATAGACTTCATTCAGGCCAAGTATAAAATTGCTCGAGGAAAAGCACCTATGGTTGGGGCAATAGTGAAAGGAGTGCAGTCCACCAAGAGAGCTAGTGATGATTTTCTAAGGTCTTGGCTGATGCTTGCTGTTTCAACATTCTTGTGCCCCCCTACCAGCATGGGAATCAGTCCTAGATGCTACCCATCAATCATGGACCTTTCTCATGTTAAAGATCTCAATTGGTGTCAGTTTGTGGTTGACTAACTGAAGAAATCGGTTTCAAAAATGGGAAAAAGGAGTTTTGTTAGGGGCTGTGTTCTTTTCTTAGTTGTAAGTTCATTTCTTCTTCTTCTACCAATGTCTACTTTTTCTATTTTGCCTTGTTTGTATTTGATGATACCATTTTCTTTTGTATACGTGCTTCTTTTCAGATCCTATATGCAGACTCTTTGATGGTTGAAAATGTTGACATCCCAACGACGACGCCTAGGATTGCAGCATGGTCAAGGAGCTTGGTAGATCAGGTAGTTAAGTTAGACACCAACCGTGACGGCTTCTTTGGAAAGCTCAAGGTATGGATTATAACAGTTGTGCATTTTTTCTTTTTCTTATCACAAAAAATAACCAATGTTCCTAATCTACTCTTATTCTTTCTCTTTTAATTTATCCAGCTTAAAAGTTCACAATCTTCATTATTCCAGTTAGATGATGTGTGCAGATTCGTGTCTTCAAAGGTGTCATCAAACATGTCCGATCAGGTCTGTCCATAAATCTGATGTAGTATTTTTAAATGATTTGTTGGGCAATTACACTGTTTGTGCTAGGCAAATATAACATAGTAGTATAGTGATCATTAATCTGTTGTTTATAATCGTCTTTCATCCTATGCTTTTCTTATTCATTAATCTTTGTATCCACATTTAAAATTTAGTCCAAGCTTTCTTGCCGTTTCCTCGCATTTGTTTAATGATCATGTCACTATTTTCACTTGCAGAAAAAGAGGAAATTGACTAGTGCTGTGAGTGAGTTTTGTACTGGTTTTACCAACCTTATGGGTACTTTCTTAGAAAAAGTATTCGAAATCGAAGAACCATATTCCACAACCAGTTCTCATGGAGATGGTGTTGCATCTGAATGCCAACCACCACGTGCAGAACAAAGGCAGACCAGGTCCAGGCAAACAAGACAAGCACATGAGGATGATCAACTGCCTGATGAAGAAGATGAAGATGATGGCACTGATGATGATGAACATGACAGTGATGATGAAGAAGAACATGAAGATGAAGATGATGGCATTGATGATGAAGAAGATGACGGTGGTGATGATGAAGAAAAAACTGCAGGAGAGTATTCTTCTTCAGAGGATACAAAAGAAGAATCAGATCTAGTTGAAGATGGGGGAACTCCACCCCTTGATTTTGATGATCCAGTTGATGGCATGTTTACTGGCAACATCAGTGAAGATGAGCACAATAGTCAAGATCATGTGCCTTTTATTGTGCGGTTAAGGAGGATGCGTAAAGGTAGTAAAGCTGATAATCAAGATAAAGGCTCTGACAAGCATTCAAGTCCACCTGTGTCTATAGATGGCAAATCTCCAATACACTCTAGCCCCGAGAGAGCAAAAGATGATGAAAGGCCAGCTGAACCTCAACCTCTTGCATATATCCTACCTGAAAATCTTAAGAAAGTAGGAATTGCACACAACAGGAAGTTGAAGCTATGGCTGCCAAGTAATCTGAGTTGAACAAAAAGATGCAGGTAATGTTGAAGCTACCTGTTGTAACATTTTATTTCCTTTTTCTTCCATCTTTGCTTATATCTTCTTTATTTTATATGCAGGTGATGGTGCTGCCACAACCACTTCGGTGCACAATGTTGGAGAAAGCTGCAGTTTTAAGGTTTCTGGTTCAGAAAATATTGTCCAACAAGAAACAGGCAATGCAACAAATATGGATCCTCTAGATTTCACCCCTCCAGACTTTAAGCTTTTTGATGAAGACAACATTTCTTCCACCAAGTCTGCAGGAGGTTTTGGTGGTGCTACATGCTCACTTGATGAGATACCAGAAGAAGAATTTCATAAGTTAGAAGATGATGCCATCAAAGAGAATGAATCAAGAAAGAGGAAAGCACTGGTTGAGGAGCCTAGTAGTGGAAAACTTTCAGTTACACTTGCATATCAACCTCCGCCAAAACGAGCTTTGAAAAGGCCAGCTACTTTGCGATCACCATATGTTGATTACACATCAAAGATGGATTTCAAGTGCACTAAAGATGTTTGTGATGTCTATGATGCGGTGTGTGCACATGCAAGGTCTACTAGAGGAAGCCAACATACAGAGTATGTGCTTATGCTTAAGTAGTTTACTTATTGTGCCTTAGCAATATTTCAATTGTAGCTTGGCAATTTAATAGTTTACTTATTGTGCCTTAGCAATTTTTCAATTGTAGCTTGGCAATCTAGTAGCTTAAGCAGTATACTTATTTAGCATATATGTTGCTGTTAATGCTTGCCACTGCCTTGCCATTCATTCTTTGGTTCAATGGCATATATGTTGCCATTAATTGCTTGCTGAATCTTCTTTCAGCAGGCTTAGACTATGAATGTTCTTCCATGCCCTGCTGCTGCTCTGCTATCATTCTTTTTGCTTACATGTGGAACCTGTTTCACTCATGGAGAAGATGTGCATGTTTCACTCAGTGTGCTATCCTGTTATACTTGTTCATGCAAAATAGTTTTATCTTATGATTGATGAACCAATTAAAATCTCTGCCAAAACCCTGAAACTAGTGGTAGCAGCAATTAGAATTTCAGCAGTAGCTAGCTGCTTGCTACTGCTATTTCTGAAAACCACCTCTGTTTGCTCAGACTTGACAAATTGGCAGTTTTAGGATAATTGCTATATAGGCAGAATATAGCAGGGAATAATGTGTTTGTTCGGTTTAGGGGACTGGAGATTGATGGATGGACCAGTTCAGTTTTGCATTAAAAATGATTTTTAGTGACTCGCTTCATAATCCTCTCATTCTACAAGTCGAGAACTCAAGATGGTGTCACAGTTCAGTTTTGCTGCACATTCAGAGTTGCTGAGCTGCTGCTCGTGTGCGTGTGTGCACTCTGTTATCACCCTTTCTTCTACCTCTTGCCGTGAGTGAGTGTGGTGTGGTGCTGGTGAGCTTGCTGCTCACCTGTGCATGGAGTCGAGGGCCAACAGGGACAGGATGGCGCTGAATCTGAGCATCACCAATGCCAATCCATCTCACATGTGAAAAAAAACTAGCACTACTAGCAGTACTATACTGACATGTGAAAAAAACTAGCACTACTAGCAGTACTATACTGATTTAAATGCAATATTATCCACTCCCACAATTTTTTTCAGTCTAGTATTTATTTAGTTATGGCTAAGCAGTTTATTTATTTTGCCCTAGCATTTATTCAGTTCAAGCTAAGTATTTTATTGATTACAGCCTACCAACTTTATGTGACATCATTTTTGTTTTGTGGCTGCAAGACAATGATAATAAATTTCTGTGAATTCTATGTCTATCTGGAGCTCCTTGCTGCATCAGTTAAACCAGGAGGCCACCTACATAACACTGTTGCAGATATAGCAATTCAAATAATTGACAGAGCGAAAACCCACGGCAAGCCCATCAAGCGTGTGCTTCCATTACGAGTCACTGTCAGATTCTATATATATTCTTATTTAATATAGTACATCTTACAAGCGGTCAGATTCTATATACATTATATATACTTTCTTGCTTAATATAGTATAATTTAGCTAGCTGTAGACTTTCCCTTTTTCTTCACAATTTCTTCATTCACATTCAAATATTTTTACATCTGCCCATTACCAATTTTGTAACTGTCTTTTGGCATTCTCTTTTTTTAGCGGACATTTCTACAATCGGGCTAGCTTGATAGGAATCAGGTGACTCGTGTATTCAGGCGTGCTGATAACAACCTCGACCACCGTCAGATGGTGTGTTCACATATGAATGTTTTCCTAAAATTCCGAATATTCAGATTTGTTGTGTTACTAACGAGATGTGAACAAAAACAACACATGTAATGTTCCCTGTGCTTGAGGCCATGGGGAACAATGGATCAGACACAGCGGGACACTGCTACTTGCTGGTTCTAAACCTAAGGGGAAAAAGATTCGATGTAATGGACTCGATGAGGAGTTTGGGAGACGAAAGGCTAAGAAAAAGCTGCAACACCATCATGGAGGGCATTAAAACTCTACGGAGGAAACACTACCCAAACTCAAAAAAAGACACAGAGAACTATGAGGCTATGGACATTGGTGTGCCAAAACAATTGAATAAGTAAGTTGAAAATTAAAACCGGTTCTTGTGCTATAGATTCTATACATCGGCTAAATCTAATAAGTGTTGCACATTGTGCTATCACAGCCATGATTGTGGATTTCATATGCTCATGCATGCTGAGCACTGGGATGGCCGTACAATATACAACTTCAAGGAGAAAGATATTCCCAATATACGAAAGCTATTGACACACAAGTGGGTGACACACCCCGACAATGAAACAAATTGGAGGGACAAGTTAAAGTTGGGCCAGGTACGTGGGAATAAAAAGTAGCAATTTAGTATGATACACAAGGCATTTATGTATGAAAAAGAAAGCAATTATAACGTGCATTGCAGGTGTCTTATGGTAACGAACAAATAAAGTCTGAATATATACAGTACATAAGCTGAGAGACCATTTTTAGAGAACACTCTATATTAGACTTATGAAATAAAACCAAAAAGGCAATCCAATAGTGAGCACACTTAATCTTTATCCTTATTTTTCAAATAAAAAATTCAGCAACCATTTTTTTGATTAACTTGAGAAGATGACAGAACATATTACATTAACTTAAGCACCACTATCTCTGCAAATTAAAAAAATTATTCCTTGAAAACTAAGTCCCGGAATCCTTCCTCCCCTTCATCACTTCTCCCCTTCATCACTTCTCTTCAATACTTCTCTTTTTCTTGCACGTTGCTGCATTGTGTTCTGTTGAGCCACAAGCACTGCATCTGTTTGGCTTCCTTTTTGAATGCACTTCTAGTGTTGATTTCTTTCTCCTTGTCCTCATATGCCCTTTAGTCTTTGTTATGTCTGGATCCAAGACTATAGTGTTCTCATGGGGAGCAGCCAATTCAAATGTAAGGCGCCTGACAGTTGTGTTTGAGACCACAGAGGCTTCACCATTTTGTTGTGAAAGATGCCATTGGAGTAGTTCTTGAGGTGGAGGGATAATAGAAGATGTAGAAGCTCCAGGATTGGTTGTTGCTGCTCAATAGCACAACCTTGCTGCTGAACCTGTTCAGAGCCTTGCTGCAGCACCTGCTCTACTGTTGTACCTTCTTCTTGTTCTTCCTTGTCTTTTTTAGAGCAGCAAATTCTGCCTCTATTGCACGCCCATGAGTGGTAGCAATCTCACACAACTCATCTGACATACTACCCTGCTGAGAAATCTTTGCGAATAAGTGTGCAAGGTTTGCAAAGCGGACTGCTCTCTTAGATTTCTCTGGCATTGTAGCTATTTGAGCACCAACTTGCAACGTAGATACAGAAGTTGCATTCTCCTGTGGTGTCCACCTTTGAAGAATGTAGGGGTCTGGGATTTTTTTATCCCCTTGTATGTCAACACTTTTAGAACATGTTAGCAAAAAATTCCATCCTTCTAGAATTTGCAGCATTGATAGCTGATTACAGCATGCTCTTCATTGTAAGTAACCTCATACGGCCTAGAGCCATATCCTCCAACAAAATCTTCAATAGGGCTCAACTGGTACACATTTGGATATATTTGCTGACAGACGTACTGTGCCATCTTCTGAAGTTTAGCGCAAAACCTATAGTAAATGTTCCTTGTGTACGCCTCAATAGCATGCTTCTCCAAAGGATACCTTGACCATGGTGGAGGCAACTTTTGGTCCGTCCTACAATCCTGCTTATCCTCCGCTACATCGGTCTTGTCCTGGATTTTTTTGTACTGGTGGACAAAATCTAGTATAGAGTTATGTGGATTCACATATTTCTTTAGGATGGCATTGAAGCTCTCACTTTGCTAGGTCGACTGCAATAATGGATAGAACCTGTCCATGAAGTAGACAGGATCCCAAAGATGCCTGATCTGAAACAAGTTACAGAGGATTTCTTTTTCAGCAGCTCTATACTTTTCTATCATACCTTGCCACCTGCTCTCAAACTCTTCTAGACTTAGGCTATGGTTCACAATCTCATTGTACTCCTCCTCCAAGCCTTTTCTTGATGAAAAGTACACACCAAGCCTTGACTCAATCTTTGAAATGATGTGCCAACGGCAGCATCAATGCCGGGTAGATACAAAAACAACCCTTATCGCTGCTGCTATTGCCAAGTCCTGGTTTGTTATCAAATTGAGAGGCTCCAACCCATTCATTGCTTCTAGAAAGGCTTGGAACAACCAACAATAGGAATTTGCAATTTCATTTCTCAAGAAAGCACAACCCACTTGAATTGATTGTGCATGTCTATTAATTGTTATGAATGGAGCAAAAGGCATCTTGTATATATTGGTGAGGTATGTGCTATCAAAAGAGATATAGTCATTATAAGTCTTGTATGCGGCTCTTGCTGCACCATCTACCCAGAAAATATTCTCCACTTTGTCATCAGCATCTAGCTTAACTTTGAAGAAGAAATCGCTGCCTTCCTTCTTCAGCTCATTGAAGTAAGATAGTTTCAGACATATCACTCCTCACTGCATGTGCGCTTATCCCTGCCCTTAATTTGCTCACATGCTTCTCATGATAAGGTACAGAATGTGCAGATCCATACAGCTTAGACATGAGCTGCATCATCCGGCTCATTTCCAAATTGCAATCATGCAAAAGGGTTAGTAACTGCACTTCCTCTTTTGGTATTCCGGCATGTGACCCTAGAAACTTAGCAAGAGATGGTTTGTCCACTAAGCTATGGTTGTGATCAGCAATAAATTGCTTCACAAACCACTTGTTTCAATTGAACTTGATCAACATCCTTGCTCTGCAGCTTGTGTACTTCATCTTCTCTCTTTTCCTCTTGATGCCTATGCACTTTGCCTTTTTCCCTTTTGGTTCATCCAAATCAGAACCACTACTTTTAGAGGTACCAATCTCAACATCATCAACTTCAGTGATCTCTTCATGAACACCCTTGCTCTTTTTACCTTTGCCTACCTTGTTGCACACAAACAAGACCTTGTCAAGTTCCTTTGTAATGGCTGACCTCCTAGACGTTCCGGTTCTTATAGAGAAGCCCTTCCTTCTAGCATATTCATTGTAGCAAAGCTTAGCCTCTTCGATTGTATCAAACATCTTTCCAACATATGGCTCGTCAGGTGAAGAAATCACCGCTAGGAACTACAAGTCAACATCACCAACATCAGCCTCTGTAGCTTCTGTGACACCAATAGCTGCCACTAGTTCAACTTCATTCTCAGCAGCAGCTGCCTCTATGTATGTCTTCCAAGGAGCATTGCAGTTCTGAAATTGTAGGCAGATCTGAGACTGCATCATAGGTACTAGGTACCTGTGTACAAAACATAGGACTTCTTGTCTCAATAACATCTTCGAAGATATCATATGCCTCTGTAGGAAGCTCATTCAAATCCATAACCCTTTTCCCTGCACGTTTGAAACAAGCAATTACATGCTATCTTTCAAGCATTTTATTCCAAATTATTAGGCAACTACTAACAAAACTACTAGTACTTTCATTGGCAAATGACAATGCATTTCAAACAATCTGTCCATAACAATCAATAGGCTTACCCTCCTTAATTTTCTAATTTCTTTGTTCCTTTTTCATTTGTGATTGTTATTGACAATGTGTACATAAAAAAGAGAAACTTTAGTGAAGGGAGAATCATTTCAGAAAAGAATCATTTCAGAAAAGTTCTATCATCATCTATGTATATTATTCCTTAGCTTGTGCACAGTATAAATAACAGCTATGGCTCAACATCAATTTAGGATGAAACCTAACATAACATTGACAGTGACACTGCAGTCTGTGTATGTAGAACAAACTAAAAAGCTTAGAAGTCTACATAAGCACTTGGATAGTTGACAGTAGCACATGAACATATCGGGTTTATTCTCCAAATGTTTCTATGCAAGCAAGCTGTTATAAATTGTTGGGTAGCTGGTATAATTCTGTTTAGCTCTAATATGCTCTTTTTCTGCATGTTGGACAGCAATGTTGATAACACGCTTCCGGAGGCGCTCGTCTTCCACTAGACACTAAGCACCTCGAAAGTGAGCTACATCGGACAGTTCCATCGAGCACACCCCAAGGAAGAACTCGAAACAATCCACGTTTTACATCCAGAATCCAATAATGAGTACGAGCTTACAATACTTAGTCCATTTCATACAACAAGAGTTCTTAGAAATTATTTATTACAATACTAGAGTTCAGAGTGCGATAATTAAACAGAGAATGTAAATAAGCATCTAGCGGAAATGATACAAGGATTCGTCTATGCCTACCAGAAGAATCCTCCACACAAGAGCTACTCCTCAAGCTACACCTGCAACAGGGGTAAAATAAACCCTGAGTACACACAATGTACTCGCAAGACTTACCCGACTAGTAGGAATAGTTTTCCGACTCTCAAGGATATGATAGGCAATATGTGTTTGCTATTTTCTTTTTATTTGCGAAAAGCATTACTAATAGTTTATCCTTACAGTCAAGTTTTATTAGCAGTCATGATTACTTCATTAGCTAACCATTCTAGGTAAGCACCTGTTATGCTTTCACGCAAGGGTTGAGCAATCAGAACCATTTCACCATCTTTTATTTTCCAGTTCTTACTACGGTGCTAGACCATAGCCAAGTCGTACCATCTCACGGAAATGGCGATTCATGAACCAATGTATCCCAGCTGGGTACCCTAAAACACATGCCCCATTTGTACCCCAGGAACAAACAAGACCAACCCATTCCACTCCTATCATGGGGTTCAGGTCCCCGTCCAAACTTAGACTCCAAGCCCCCACACTTGAGACCCAGTCTCAGTATGGTGCTTAGACCTCTACCTTTCCCGTCTCCAATCAGTCAGTCCGAAAAGAGCCGGAACCCACGACAAGAGCGTAACGAGCCTTCCCGCTCCCATAAGCAAGTATGTGCCCAGGATAATAAGTTTATGACCTGACTACCATCCACGGCAACGGACGGTCCTCAATCGACACGAATAGAGAAAATAGTGTAACCAAACTAAGCCCCGTTGGCCGCGGGACCCAACCTGTTACACCCACCAATATCCATACCATATCCATGTCCGGTCTCCATTTTTCCTTTCATCATTTTATTATGAGAGTAATAATAATCACCTACTGTGAGTAACGATAGGTTAGTCACGCTACCGAAAACTTAAGCATAGCAGCTACTCGAACCTGTACTAGTAGGACTCATAGGATAGTTATATCTATGCATGTGGTTTTCATAAAATTTCCTGTAACATAAATGCACATCACACATATATATTCAGTTATTATAAAAATAAGGGTTGTGCACTGGGGCTTGCCTTGGGCAGGCGTGGTGTCAGCTAAGTCAGTCAGTGACGGCTCTAGGACCTCCTCCTACATGAGAATCTCCTTCTCATACTCCTCGGCGATCTCCTCGAACTTGCGATCGCCGGTGGTCACGATCTCCACCAACTCGTTCTCTACATGCATGCGATGATGATGCAACACTTAGCATTTAAGCAATGGCAACTCCTAAACTAAGAATATGCATACTAAGCTACTAAGCTAGTTCTAATGACTAAGGTACTAAACTAACTATCATCTTTATCAAGCAAAGTGTTGGGTTCAACTAATCAAACACCTAGCTTTATAAATAAAGGATATAACTTTATTTCTACTAATGATTTAATATATATTTGAAACAAAGAGCATTTAACTACTGTCAATGTTTGACCACCGATAGCCTGCCATGGGGGTAAGGCTGGATAACGAGCTGGCTCGGCTCGTTTGGGCTCGGCTCGTTCTGGCTCGTTAAGATAACGAGCTAGCTCGGCTCGGCTCGTTATCCTAATGAGCCAGAAAGCTAGCTCGGCTCGGCTCATTAAAAGCTCGAGCTGGCTCGTTAAGCTCGCGAGCCAGGTATAAAAAATACACAAAATATAATATTTGCATTTATCTAAAGTTTGAGAATAATAATAATACAAAAGAAATACATCTAGACCAGTTACCAGTCAATTTATAGGGTCTAGATCAGTTACCAATCAATTGTAAAGTGCAAGACATGAAGTAATACAAAAACTAATACAAGTTTTGATACTTTTTTCCTGAAAGCTTGGCTCGTTTAGCTCGCGAGCGGCTCGCGAGCTGGCTTGAGTTGGCTCGTTATAGCTAATGAGCTAAAATCTTGGCTCGGCTCGGCTCGTTATCATAACGAGCCGAGCCGAGCCGAGTCGAGCCAGCCATGAGCTGAGCGAGCTAACGAGCTTCGAGTTTTTCGTCCAGACTTACACGGGGGTTCCCAGGGTAGTATGTTCGGGCTTCAGAGTATGCAGAACTCGACGGTTAACGCAAGAGACAGTCGATTTATCCTGGTTCGGACCCTCAATCATTGATCGAGTAATAGCCCTACGTCTAGTTGACGTTAGCCTTTGCGTTGGATTGATTGTCAAGTGTTGTGTCGTAAGTCCCGTCTCTAGGAACCCTGCCCTCCTTTATATAGTCAGGAGGTCAGAATCCTAGTCGGTTTACAATGAGAGTTCCTAGTAGGATTATAGAATAATACTACTACTAAGATTACATGGGAAGAATCCTAGTTAGACTAGATCTTCTCCCTTCCTTGCGGGGTATCCCGTGGGTCCCGCACCGACAAGCCCCCGAGCACTTCATGGTTGAGCTCTGGAAGCCTCGTCTTGTTCCTTCAGGTCTTGCCGAGCAGGATCAAGCGTCGTCCAAGTGCTTCCTTGAGCGAAACCATGTAGCACTTCATGAGATCTTCGCGTGGTGTGTACCTTTTTAAAGAAAAAAGTACTCCCATTTGGGTGTAGCCCCTGAGCCTCTTGCTATTTGCCACAAGGAGCTAGAGGGTCTTCTTTTGAAATTGCTCCGATTCTTCATCGAAGGGCTCCTGAGCATATACCCGGGTTCTTTATCAAAAAGAGCTTGGATATAGCTAGGTCCAGGTTCTTTTGTCGTGAGGCCTTGAAGTGGTCTGTCTTGAAGAAGTCTTTTTGGTGATGTGCGCTTTTTTGAAGAAAAAAGTGCACTCACTGAGTGTAACCCCCAGCCTCTTGCTATTTGGAACAAAAAGTTGGAGGGTCTTGAATCTTATGTTATTTCAAAACTGCTGTCTTGAAGAAGTCTTCTGAGTGATGTGTGCTTTTTCGAAGAAAAAAGTGCACTCACTGAGTGTAGCCCCTGAGCCTCTTACTATTTGAAACAAAGAGTTGGAGGGTCTTGATTCTAAATTGTTCAAGTTACTAAAAACCTCTTCTGTTGCAGCCCCGTCTTGAATCTGAGTTGTTCTTTGGACTGAAAGCCTTTCCTATTGCAGCCCCGAGCATATACCTGGGTTCTTTTATTCTGCTGATGTCCCAATTGTTTATGAGATTCCCGAGTTCTTTCTATAAGGATCGGGTTGTTGCGTTCCTTATGAGGTAACCTTTTATTGCTTTATGGCTGATGAGTTCTTTTTGTAGCAATATGATAACTCTACCGTGTTGCTGGATGGATAAGTTCGAAATCTACCCGTTGAACTGTACCGTTGTGTGGATTTGTGTCATCCGTCATTTTAGCTGTGTCAGTAAATGGACCGTTGCGCTCTCATGCCGTGTTTAAACGGGCCCGGTGGGCCGCGTTTTGCTGCTGTAAAATCTATTTAAAAGCCTTTCTTCTTTTTCTTTACTGTCCTACTTTTGCCTTGAAACCCTAGTCTTCAAAACTCCGTCGCCGCCATTGTCACCGTCATCTGAGCGCCGCCGCCTGAGCATCACCTTTCCTTAGTGCTTTTATTGCTTTCGCTAGTATATGGGTAGGAAGAAATCAGTGAGCAAGTCCCAGGTAGCCTTTGTGGACGAGGAGGCCTTGCTTTCCGTAATTGAAAATCAAGAATTCATGGCCATGAAGGCTGCTCAGAAGATCTGGCCAGCTCTGACTACAACTGATGATCAGTTGCGCGAGCTTGTCAGTGGTGGTTTGATCTAGGGTAAGGAGTTTGCTGATTGGAGAGCTCCAGGCGAGCAACGGGTCCCTACTCCAGGTCCTGGTGAGTTTATTCTTTTTATCTCCTTTATCCGTGCCAGACTCTGCCTTCCTGCTTCTGCTTTTCTTCACTGATTTCTTGGCTATTTTGGGATTAGCCTGAACCATCTTGCTCCAAATGATGTCCTTTATCTTTCTATTTTTGTTCATCTTTGTGAAACTTTCCTTGGAATTCCTCCTTCTCTTTCTCTTTTTTGTTACTTCTTTCGTCTGAAGCCACAACCCCGCCGCGATGACACCAATGTTCTTGGTGCCTGCAGGATTTAGTTTCATCAGGGTCTTAAGAATAATTTTTTTGATTATGACTTGGTTGATTCTATGAGGAATTGGCGTGTCGACTGATTTTATGCCGCCAATTTGATTCCTCGTCTTGCTGTTCATTCT